AAAGCCATTATATGAACAACAAATACAAAATATAAGCATTATATGGAATGCTATCAGTTTCTAGTGAACACAAGGTGTGAGTGAGAAGGCTTTCGGAACGAGGGAAGACTCGGCAGATGGCGCGTATGCAGTGGGTCTGCGGGAAGACATATGGTGTGATGCACTGATGAAAAGCCTGGAGAAGAGAAGTGTGAAAGCATCGATGCTTTGAGGCCCTCAGAGAGCCAAAGCTACCAGTTTCACCACAACTGGACACAACTGATGCGTATTAAAAAGTAGAATTAATATATATTGATAACCATTTCATAATTTGTAATAATGAATCTAAAAATGCAAATAATATCTAAAATAATGAGAAATATTATATAGCATGTGATGATAGAAAATGGGGCATGGGTGCAACATCCTTGAGCCTCCATTTCTTAAAAACGGCTACCTTCTTATTATTCTCCACTAAGATCAAAAGCAGTGGCTGTGATTGATAACGGTCTCAATCCAGATGATGTAAAAAGCTGTTAAGAAAATATAATCAGCTGCGAGTAGAGCGGTGAGACTCTTGAGCTCGCCCTTAGAAGTGAATAGCTTGACAGTAACTTCATCAAATGTTTCAATGGAGCTACAATCAGAATCTTTTCTCGAAGTTGTCTTAATGTAAAACCGCTCCGCATATGTATCTATTTTCAGGCTTGTTGAATGTCAGAGTAATTCAGCATTCCGTTGTAGGTTGACATATGAAAGTCGCTGGCTCTTTAATAAGGACACATGAGGTTTGACTGCCATGCATAAACCATTGCGGTTTTTTGAATATTCATACCTCTCAGAAGTGTTTTAACACATCCCTCTCCTGTTAATTGTCAGTCTAACTCTCTCCGTCATTTAAAACAGGTTCTAATTCCTGAATAAATAAGAAAGTTAAGAAAGTTAGTGCGAGAAAAGGAACAGTGGGATATGTCTGACTGAATTTCTTAAGGGTTAAATATTTCTCCATCTATGCTTCTCGCCGCACAGTCCTGGTTAGTCTGAATAATGCAGACAGTGAGAAAACCATTCTGGAACATTCTAGTGGACAAATCCATCAATATTTACCCAGCAGATGCCTCTGTCAACAGGACCTGCGGTGGAAACAAAGCAAGCCAACATGATTCAGCGGTCTCATTGGCTGGGAAATATCTGTTTGCGAGTACCAGGATGGAAAGGCGGCGAAAGTAATGATTAACATTTATTTTCCTTTCATGTCAGAAGACGGTGTGTTCTGGGAATGGGGGTTATACTGGAACTTGCGTCGTATTTAAAGAGCCCCTCTCTGAGGCGAATTCACTTTTGATTACGGGTGTTGAAATCTTTTTGTTTTCTAGCCAAAAAGGAGGAACCTCTCCAATTCCCCAACCCTTCAATCTTGGGTGGATCTCTTCCTCTTAAATAGGACAAGACCACGGTGGAGATAGTGCGAGACAGTCTTTCTATGGTTGAGCTACGCAACCGTTCTCGCTTTGATTTATTGTTCCGTCTCTTTAAAAGTTCCCACCTTATCGTCCAATCAGAAGTCGGCGGCAGCATATTTTAGCTATGCTGTGTGACCCCACTTTCAGTCTCTCTATCTACTCCTACTCTATCTTTCTTGCCCTCTTTCACACTCACTTTATCTTTCGTCTTCTTGCTCATTGTTCCTTTGTGTGTGTGTGTGTGTGTGTTGGCAGCAAGCAGAGCTGCATAATCGAGTGGCGGTTGGTGACTGATGAAGGCAGCATCAGTCTTGCCCCTTTGACAGTCAGATTACTTAACGGCACAGGGGGTTGTTTAAAATGGGCAGCCCCCCCGCCATCAGTGCCAAACACAGGCCCAACTTTAGGACCAGGTGTGGGATCATTAGTGTCACAGCCTGCAGTCAGTCAACAAGTAAAACATAGCGTCAACAGAGAGACTCACCGCCCCCTTTTACATTCACCCAGTCACTTGTCTTTTCATCGCTTTTCCCTTTAACATTGCTGGATGAAAAATTGTTTCTCCACTATTCTTCCAAAGAAAAACAAAGCTACAAGCTAGTACAATGAATTCCTCCTACTATCCTAAAGTGTCCTTAAAATGTGACAGTGCAATCTTTATTTCCACACTTGAAACCTGTATGACTTTCTGTCTTGTGGAACACAAAAGGAGATGTTCAGCACAGTGTCCTGGTTGATCTTTTCCATACAGTGGAAGTTAATGGTGACCATGACTGTCGAGCAATATTTTAATAATTCCTGAATGACGACTTTTTTTCTCAAAACAATCTATCAAATTTGTAAGACTCTGAATACAGCGAATGGGTCATGCAGCTTTAATAATACCTTTTATGATAAGCTTTATGGACTTGAAAGCACTTGGTCCCCATTCACTTACATTGTATGGAAGAAAGCAGGGTCACCATTCTGCAGAACATCTACTTCTGTGTTGAAAGGATGGAAGAAAGTCATCCGTTTTTGAACAACAAGAAGTTGAAAAAATTAGTAAATGAGTGAACTGAATAAATTTGTTTGGGGTGAACTATAATTTAAGACAGACATGGCCATTGGTGATGTTAACTAAAACTATAAAAACAATTGTTTTTAATAAAATAAAATAAAATTAAATTAAAAATGCTGCCTTAGTAATTAACTTTTTTAAGCAATTACTAAAACTGAAATAAAATAAATTAAAGTTAAATATGTATATTAAGAAAAAAACAATAAAGATGACAAAAGCACATAACAAAAGGGCTAAACCTTGAAATAAAATTCAAATGAAATGTCAAAATAAGAATAACAGCATATAACAGCATATAAATACTAACACGGCACAAAACACATTGCATTGAAACTTAAAATTAATATAGAATAGTCAAATGTTTAAATAAATGTATAAATTAAAAAAAAAAAAAAAACATTTATTCTTATTAAACTCACTAATAAAAGTCAAAAAGGACAATAATGATAATAAAGCTGACGGCAAACAAGGCAAAACAGGAAGAGCATAATCTTTTCAACACTTTTGGCATATTGCAAGAAACTCAAAAAACAACAACAACAACAACACAAATAAAAACCTTTAAAAGCATCTTTACTGTGGGTGAGGAGCACTAAACCCCAGAGCTTAAATTGAGCTGTCAGCTGAATTGCCGCATGGGTAAGTGGGCCCAACTGTGAGGTGGCATCTCTGCACTGGGGAGAACAGCTCACTGCACTATTGAAGTCACAGAAATCCTTCACGTCTCACTTGGTCGCTTCGTACATGTCACCTGGGCCCGGGCCCGGGCCCTGCCCTATCCCACAGGAACCAGGCTGAAACACTCAGAGTGCAGGGGTTGGAAATGCCATCGAAGCGTGTTCCAAAACAAGTCGGAAAAACAGATGTCATTGTCTCACTCGGAACATTTAAATTGAGACGGCACCTAGTTCGGATTCAAACTCTTATGAACAGCTTACCCTATTTGAATGTAAATATTTAATCACAGACATTAAAGGCCAAAGAGCTAGACATGGAACACTAAAGCCTGTTGTGTACAGTGAGATAAGCTGGAGATTACAGCTGTGAGCCTCTGGAAAGCATCCAGCTTGAAGCCTCCCACATGAAACTGAATGTGGTGGGGCTAACAGATATAAGTTCACCTCTTGGATTTAGCACCGGTACATCACAAACCATACACCCGGCGCAATGCAGCGCGCAGGCGCAACAAGTGTTTTTTGCTAGCTTCAGCCCGACGCAGTTATCATTTTCACGTCCTGCGCCACGTTGTTTAAATAGAGTGCCGTTATTCACGAATGATCGTGCGCGTGAACTCGACAATCATCTACTTTGGGCTTCGACAGAAAACAGGAAGCAAATAGAGGTATGTGAGCTGGCTGAATTAACATCATTTTTATTCATATCTTTCACATCTACTGCAGTCAGATTGACCGTGGTCACTCTTAATAACACGACTCACATGGCTGTGCACTCGTAATGACAAATCAAGGATGCTATAAGAGGCTAAAAGTAGGTTTAGAACATGCCCCATTGAAGTCAACAGGGTGCGAATTTTAAAAAGACGATAACATGGTGCAGGAAACACTGATTTTTGTCTTTTTTGTCTGTCCTGACAGCACTCCAAATGTACAAAAAAATGAGCTTAATGTTAAAATTGACCGGAGTTCTCCTTTAAGAGAATAGAAACATCCCTCTTAGACCACACCGACCATTTTTCGGTGCTAAAATAGGGCCCATTGCGGTCATCAACTGATATGCCACATACAAAGTGTGATTGTCTCTAGAAACAGAAGCTCACAATAAAAAGGCATGAAAGAAAACAAACATGAGCATGGATGACACACAGTGGGAGCAGCAAACCATGTAAAACAAAAGAGAAGGAAAATAAATAAGAGACCTTCTGTTTTGCTGACCCTTGAAGGCATGTCCACCAAAATAAAAGCATAAACAATTTGTACTGTTTGTTCTCATTGGTTTCTAGCCCTCATGCCCGAGCTCACTGCGTAGGAGGCCAGATCTTGCATACAAGCACAGATCGAGTTAACAAATAAACATTACCTCATTAGCATGTTATCAATGAAGTGTTACTCATGCAATCACATTGCTGACACTGAAATCTATTAGAGGGACAACAGCACTACATCTAGACACTTAATAGCGAGCTGTTTGTAATGAGGAGGACACTTACTGAGTCTCTTGGCAGCCTCCAGGGCTTCAGAGGCAGTGTCAGCCACAAAGAACCGCTGTACGGTTACGCCACTGTCCTGCATCAGCTTCTTGCTCTGGTACTCCTGCAGGTTCAGCCATCTTCTGGGGCACAGCCTCACTAGCTAAAAACACACACAGAGTATGGTTTCATTTACAGGGCTGTCGTCAATAAAATACATGATATGATTTTTTTTTTTTTTTTTTTTTACATGAATTAGATGAGTTGACCAACATAATGCCGCTTGGTTTGAATGTGACTTTTTTGTGAGCGGTGTTTCATGTATCACTACACTACTAATAGTGGACTGGATCTTTTTTCTAGGCATGCGAATGTGACCACACCTTTCGACTGATTAAATAAAATATATGACATCAACCTTTTGATCAAAGGAACGTGTTCTGTCATATGTAGTAATGACGATACATGACAATTTAGTAATCAAAGTCCAACAGAGAATGTTTTTTTTTTTTTTTTAAGTGGGGCTGTCAAACGATTAATCGCGATTAATCGTATCCAAAATAAAAGTTTGTGTTTACATAATATATGTGGGTGGAATGTGTATAATTATTTATATATATATATATATATATATATATACACGCTTGTATATATTTAAGAAATATTTTATACTGTATATTTAAATATAATTTATAGTATAAATATAAATATTTTATATATAAATAATATTTTTTTTCTTAAATATACATGTGTGTGTATATTTATATATACAAAATAATTATACACAGTGCACCCACACATATATTATGTAAACACTAATTTTTATTTTGGATGCGATTAATCGCGATTAATCGTTTCACAGCCCTTTTTTTAATATATAATATTATTGTGTAGATTCTATTAAATACCAGCTGTATATTTTGTCTCTCATTTAATTTTTTTATTATATAGCAATATTTTTACAATTTAATTTAAATTTTGCTTGTTTGTTTTTGGAGTTTTGGGAATTTTTACAATTTTACGATTTAGTTATCACAGTTCAACAAAGAAATGTTTTTTGTTTTTTTTTGATTTATGACATAATTGTGTAGCTTCTATTCAAGAATAAAATGTATTACATTTTACTACAATATTTTAATAACTCATTTTGCTTGTTTATTTATTTGTTTACAACTTTACGATTAAGTTATCAAAGTTCAACAAAAAAATGTTTTTAATATATTACGTAACTGTGTAGATTCTTTTTGAGAATGTCATTATTACATTTTAATTTCACTTATTATACAGTAACATTTTTTTTTTAATTTCATTTGATTTTGCTTGTTTGTTTGTGGAATTTTTACAATTTATTTAAAGTTAAACAAATAAATGTTTTTAATATAGGCCTATTACATAATTGTGTATATTATATTAGAGAATATAATTTTCATTACACATTAATATTAATATTATATAGTAATATTTGTATTGCTTGTTTGTTTTTGGAATTTGATGGATATAAACCAAGTCTAAGGGTACGTTTATACAACATCTAAAAACTTAAACGTTTTTGCCTATATGAACACATAATACACGTGCATGACGTCACTGTTTTCACAAATTTGGCAATTATGGCTTCGTTTTCAAAAATGTGCATTTTGAATACCAATTTTAAAAGTTTGCACTTTCAGGCTCCCAAAACCTCATTGTCATGTAAACGAATGGCCGAACCCGCCTAAAAAGTTTGCAGTATATTAGTTCAAAACGATATTGTGTAAACAACAGCCCCTTAAAGTGCAGTCACAATTATATCATTCCCCAGCAAAATACATGGACACGATATAGCGTCATTCTGTTCTGCCATTACCATGACTACACATCAAATAGGTTTTAGGTTTATTGAATTTTTTTTTTTTTCAAGCACATCTTTGAAGTTATTTCACAACAGACATCCTCCGTAATAAAGCGGCTTCAAGTCTCGTCTCTTCATTCGTGTCTTGGCTTCCATTCAGTCTAAGATTTCTAATCATAGCAGCTCAGCACTTGGTTAATATTCACACATATTCAAGACCATGTCCTTTGATGAGTATTCAATGTGTAGTTAACAACCCATAAGACACTCATTAAATAGACAATTCCACATTATTCACAACTGTAGAATGAGTAAAACAGGTTATCAGAGCAGCACAGTGTTAAATACACTCAAGTACATTATTAAGTCATGATTTGGAACAACTCTATGGCTTCTACTAATTGAGTGTCTACGTGTCTCCAAGGAGAATAATGAAGGTGGCCACCAAAGTTGGCATGCTGTGGAAGAACACCGGGGAAGCGTGCACTCAGAATTGCATACTTATTCAAACATAATGAGACATCATCACTAACAGGTTAAGCAACAATACAAGGAAAATGTAATGTAGTGCACTCACACAGCAAAATGTGACTTCCGCTCTAGAGTTATATAGCTATGGGCATAGGTATAAATGTGACATTACTGTACGTGCCATATTGTTTACGAGCTGTTTTGTAAGCTTTGTAAAAAGTTTGTAAGCCTCCAACCACTCACTAACTTGATCACTTGCTCTCTGATAAGAGTCGGATGATGCACTACTCTCATTCTCGGCAGTGTTCTTCTCAACGCCAGCATTTCATCATTTCACTGAAATACATAACAGTACGATTTGACTGCTGTATGGGCTACACTGAATTATATGATTCATCATATCATTGCATTTGGTGCTCAGCACATTTGTCATTAAAGAAAACAGATCGCAAAAGCATTCGTTTGGTAAGTCAAAATTTTAATACTGCGATGACAATCCAGATGCTGTATGGAATGTACAATAAACGTTCACTCTCTCAACAAGCACAGAATGAGGCATCTGTAATAGACTTTGGGTTGTGGAACCAATTTCTTGTATTGCTATAAAAAATAAAAAATAAACAATAAATAAACAAAAAAATAAAAACAATAAATCACTAAAGGAAAAATACATCTGGCAAGTTTCCATATTTTGACACCATGACTGGTTGTGGTGATACTGTATTATTTTAAATACCTTGAAAAGTGTGTGTGTGTGTGTGTGTGTGTGAGAGAGAGAGAGATAGAGTGAGAGTGGGCTGTGTATTAATCGTGTTTGTGTTTACATAATATATGTGTGTGTAGTGTGTATAAAAAATATATACATATATAGAAAATGTGTTATCAATATATAAAATATTTATATTTATGCATATTTTAATTTTGTATAAATATATATAAAGAATATACATGCAAATATTTCTTAAATATATACATGCATGTGTGTGTATTTATATATACAAGATAATTATACACACTACACACACATATATTATGTAAACACAAACTTTTATTTTGGATGCGATTAATCGTGATGATTCGTTTCACAGCCCTATATATATATTATTAATGAAATAATAAACACATTATCATGATCATTATGGTGATATTGTACTCTTTTAAATACCTTGAAAAATGAAATAAAGCAGTGACATGTATAATAATGGCAAAAATATATGTAAATAAATAAACTGTTATGACGGGTACAATCACCTTTGGCAATATCATAATCTGTTACATGTATAATAGTGGCAACAAATAATAAGTACATAACTACTTATTAATAAGAAAGAAGTAAATACTTTTTAAATTATATTAATGATTAATTATTATTATTTATTTAATTTTTAATGGTTTGGAAAACAAGATTTTTGTTATATACCTGTACCTGTACATTTTTAGCTCTGGTAAAACAACAATGTGACATATAATCCACGTGATAAATTAACATTTCCATGACACGAAAATGTAGGATAAAGCAACTCTGATAACACTTTACAATAAAATTAAATTCGATGCAAACATATCTTTCCACAAGACTTGGACTAAATCGTTTCGATTCGTGCATATTCATTTTAAGACACCTGTATGATATTTTGGATGTTTGGGTTATATTTAAAGAAATATAATTTATATAGCATCTTCTTAGTCCTTTGAGGGTCATTCCTAAAGGCCGTGGTGTAGCATTCAATGCATATTGGGGTGGATGGCCACATTTAAAACTGGAAATCGCTAGCTGTTGATAACATAGCTACCTACGCACAAAGAGTTCAGTGGAAGGACATTGGGTAAGCTGCCTTACACATGAATCTAAGCATTCCTTGTGCTTTAATGCTAGTGATCTGTTGTGTGTGATGCCACAAATATGGTGACTTTGTAATTTAGTTTGACTTTGTATATAGTGATAAAACACAAAGTTGTGGATCTCCTGAAAAGTTTGATTCCCCACACAGTTGCAGGTTTTTATAGACTTCTCAGACGAGGGTTTATTTTCTGAATGTTCAGAACACAATGGGTTTTTACGGTTCACTGCTGTTTATTAATACATATGGGAAATAAGTGCTGTTTTCTCAACAGATTATGCTTTATTGCATCAACAATATACAAGGTGTGCTATACATAAAAAAAATATTAAATATTAATAAAGAGACATGAGAGATGGTGACAGAGACAATTCTGAAAGGGTGGGTTCTTTCAGAAAAAGAAAACAGGCCAGTGATAAAATGGACGATACCTTCTATTCTTTTTTTTTAATCTATATATATATATAAATATATATAAATAAATATATATATATTTATATATATTTATGTTAAGCTAATAGGCTAAGCTGTTAACGTGTGAAAACTGAAAACACAAAGAATAGGAAATGTTTAGTTTGACATTTTTAGTTTTAGTAATACAGTATAAAATGATATATAATCCAAGTCACACACAATGGTAGCACTTTACAATAAAGTTCAATCCCATTACTAATAACATTAACTGTTCAACATTAAGCAAACATATCTCTCCACAAGATTTGGACTAAATCGTTTGAGTCTTATGGGTTTGTTATACGACACGTCGACACCTTTATGATCTTCTAAGTTTAGGTTAGAAGTATATTGATTTGTGTTTTAAAGATTAATCAATGTTTTTAGAACGACAAATATTCATTTTAGGGTGAAATATCCCTTTAAATAGGTCCTAGTTTTCTAATACGGCCTTACATTGGCCTTTGAATGCAGCAATTTTTCCATGTTCTGACATACTCAGCTTGTATAATTAAACATTTTTGACAAATATTTGTTTGCAATTCACTAAAATGACTGTTTACTGCC